TGATGAGATACGCATACCTATACAACAGCAGGACTTGTACACTTTACCTTGTCAAAGTTTTCTTTACGTCGAAGGAAAACTGACGTTAACAACGAAAGACGAAGAAGAAGTATTTCTGGGTAATAATTGTGTAGTTTTTATGTTCGATGAGATTCGCTATAAACTTAATGGTGTGGAGATTGATCGTAATAGAAACGTTGGGATAACCAGCACGATCAAAAACTATGTATCGCTAACACATGATAAAAGCATGACCATGAAAAATGCTGGATGGGATATTACACAACATACAGACGTAGATAGTTACTTTAGTTTCTGCGTACCTCTCAGCATGTTATTGGGATTTTGCGAGGACTACAAGCATACGATTATCAATGCACGTCATGAACTAATTTTAATACGATCGCGCAACGACCAAAACTGCATAACAGCAATCTCTCAAGTAGATCGTGAGGCATTGAAAGGAAACATTGAATTATTCAAAGTGCAATGGCNAATGCCACATGTAGTATTGAACGATGTCACGAAGCTCTCGCTGCTACGAACTCTGGAAAGCAGACGGTATTTGACCATGAGTTTCCGCTTGTGGGATCTCTATGAGTTTCCATTATTACAAAGCACGACTAAACACTCGTGGGCCGTAAAAACGGCGACACAACTTGAGAAACCGAGATACGTCATATTTGCGCTACAGACTGCTCGAAGAAACGATATGTCAGCAAATGTCACCCGATTCGATCACTGTCAGTTGACCAACGTAAAACTTTATCCCAATTCTGAATTCTATCCTTATGACAACTTGCATTTAGATTTCGATAGAAAATAATATGCCGTTCTGTACAATATGTACACACATTTTCGTAAACCATATTACGGATGTGGTGTTGTCGTACCGTTTCTCACGATTTCCAACTTTTTGCAATGTGGGCCTTAAGTGGTCATTGATTGTTTGCATCAAAACGAGGCGGTCAAAAGTGCAACCGTCGATGTGCGAATTGAATTCGATTGCAAAGAAAATATACCAGCAAATACTACAGCCTATTGTCTCATTTTGCACGATCGTGTTATTGAATACAATCCGTTAACCAACGTAGTGCGCAAAATTACATAAACTGCAACATCAGCGTTTCTCCCCTCTATAATCTGAAAATCGTTTAAGAGCGACAGTATTTTACGATAGATAGCATTTGTCTTTTGTTGGTCACACGATTACGTCAACATGGCTGTGCCGACGTAGACCTGCAAGGATTTGTAGTCGGAAAAAGATTTATTGTCAAGGAAGTAGCGGTATTGCGAAAGGGCACTGTTCTCTCGCATTACATTTTTGGAAGTCCCTTCTCGTGGAGTCTACTCGCAAGATCAGCAGCTTCTTGGCTGATGATGTATCATCATGG